GCCTTCCCTCTCTTAAGAATATGACGTGGGAAGTCTCAGAAGTATTGAATTGCTTTTCCTTAATCAAAAAGACAAGAGTCTTGGAGCTTTAATAGAGGCATATTTTCTTCTCAACAGTTCTCAAACATTTGAGCTACACCGGATTTAATGATACAGGAGTTTCAAATGGGCTAAATAAATCACCACTTTTGCTTTTCCTTGAGTGATGTGCTGATGATAAAGCTTCTGTCAGAGATCTGCTTTCAGGAAAAAAACCAGCATTAGAACCAGACTGAGTTTGCTGTATCTGAAAAAAACAGCAGTGGAAAAACATGCCTCAGATACATAAACGTTACTGTTCAACACAAGAATGTCAAATGTGCATGAGGTCTCTTCTGTTCTTGGGGACCTCGGTTCCATTCAGTAAATATATTCAGTTACTAGTGGTAACTTGGAAGGCTTAAGAGCAGGGAGGAGAAGGAGGGGTAACCAAACAGAAAGCTGACAGGGGCTGCAGCTGTGCAAGCACGGCTTGTCTGGCTGGAGCTGCGGCGCCGCGGCCGAGGGAGGAGTGAAAGCCCTGGCAGGTCACAGCGCAGTTTGTTCTTCCTGATTTACGAGTCCCACGCTTCGAGTATGCCTTGGCTTTGCTGTGTTAATGGCTTCAAGTGCCCAGGAGTGTGTGTGTCTTAGGCAGGCACCGCTGTGCCGGGTGTGTCAGTCATCAGGCAGCAGCACTGCGAACGCGCTGCTGCATCCTCACGCCACCGAGGAGGCTTTTGCTTTCCAAAATGTAGAGCCAGGGGTATGTCACTGTGCTTTCCAAACTGGACCCTAAAGGGGGCTAGAAAGCAGACAAAAAGGGTCTCTCACTTGCTGATCGTGGTGCAGTGCCATGTGAACGTTGCAGTCTGTATTTCCAGCACAGTCACTCAGCTCACGCAGGTGCTGTCAAGCCAGGGAGAAGGAAAATAGATAAAGCAATATGCTTGCAAGTACTGCAAATACATCACATCCTGTTTATTACACAGAACTCCTCCCACCCTATTAATAAAACGTCCTTAAGGTTTCAAAGTGGAAAGCTCAGCAGCTGCTGATGCAATATGACAAGAAGAGCAGAGTGATGATGGTTTATACCACCCACAGATCAAGTCTGAAAGCTTTATTTACATACTGCAAGGCTGTTTGCATAAGGCCTTGCCTGCTTTGGTGCCTGGGAAATCTGGTGGTGAAACAATTCAGTTGTGTTACAAAATTAAAAAGCATTCTAAAGACTTAAGACATTAAGTGCTCTTTGCATGCTGCTGTATTACATTCATAAAACACGCGAGCCTGGCTCTAATGGGCTGTAAATGAACTGTTGGTGAAAAATTTATCAAAATAAAACTACAGACAGCCTGGGAGAGTGCCTTCCAGGTTCCTCATAAAGACTTCATATCAATTAGCACAGCTAGTCCCAGAGAGCACATAACAGGCTTTTCACTAGGCCTTGCAGATGCTGGGGATGTGGCTTTAATTTTTACAGTTCCAGTATTTACACCAACTGGTGGGCTTGGAGGATCAAGATTTTCAGTGAGAGCAAGGAAATGGTATCGTTCAGAAGGGAAGATAAACAAAACCATAACTACCAGAAAAATGGGAAGTCAGAGCTGTGTGGGCTGAGTTCTGTCCTTATTTGGCTTTGGGGAATTATGTGATTTTATTCTATGACTCAGAGTTGTTTTTACAGCATTTGCGTCACCCAGAAAAGTTGCATCTGCATAAGACCCAGCATGTTCCAGGAGAGAATATTTTGTTCTGTAATGTGAACTTGCTAACAGACACTGACAGCTTTCATGTTTTGCTTCATTATTATTATTATTATTGTCATTCAGGCATAAACTGCAAGATGTCTCAGAGCTATCAGTTTGTGTTACTGCAGCAAGTATATGCAGTATCAGGGAAAATCAAAGCACTTGGAGAATCATCTTACAGATCAGCAATAGTGAATTCCATTTCTGGAGAGAGCCCTAAGCTTTCAGTTTGCCTCCTTTGACCTGTGTTCCCATGTGGAAAAACACAGCCTGTGTATGACGTGGATAATGGAACTGCCCCCCTCAGTTCCACCCGGATCTGAGCATATTATTTTGCTTGCAGAGCCTAACCCATTATAGGTGCCACAAATTAGTCCCTGCCCTGAAATGTAAATACTTGTGTTTTTCCATCCAGGAGGGTGGTTAGAGAATTTGGCACATAATGCCCTAAGGAGCTGGCAGAACCGAAAGTAGGTGAGCTCAGGCACTGGTTTGAAGATGCAGCAAATCCCAGGAAAGCCAAATTTAGGGCTTTGGAGGCTGGATCACAAGCGCTGCAGCCCTGTGATGCAAAGTGCTGATCCAGTATTGGCTCGTTCTGCTTGTTCAGATATGTTTGAGTGTTTCTGAGAAGTTATTTTCGTGCTGGCAGGCTCGGTGAGGGATCAGGTGGTGTCTGCCCATGCGGCTCTGCAAGGCTGGAGATCATTCCTCTTCCTGCAGCTGTCACGGAGCTGTCACGGAGGTACGATGCTGACATAAACACTGCTCTGGCTAATTGGACAGAAAGGAGGTTGTGTGCCCTCACCCAGCCTGGAGCGTGGCAGTGGCACCGTGTGGGTTGGCTTCTATTCATGGCCATGGAGGAGCCTCAACCTCCCACCCATTGCTTGGGACCGAGTGACAGCTTGGATGTAGTTGAAATCCAAAGCAAAATGGGGGTGCTTTTTTGTTCCTGAGAGAGGGACGATCACCTTTTACCCTCTTCTTTCCTGGACATTTCAGGCACTGGACTTTGCCTCCGGTTCAGTGTGCCGCCTGTTTGGCACCGAGCTCAGGCACCAGGGTGTGCCATGACCCTGTGAGCCATTTCTGCAAAGCAAACTTCCTTCCCTCTCACCTACTAATTTTTCTTTATAACTTTTTTTTTTTTTTTAACAACTGCGTTTTACCAGTGGTCTACTTTTTGGCTTTTGCTTTTCATCACTCAGGTTTTAGCAAGACAGAAGGCTGAAGCTCAGTAAGGTGCTGCAGCCTGGAGGGGAGCAACGCAGTAATCTGCTCTCTGTCTCTCCTCTGGTGTCCAGAGGAGAAGAAAATGAAGCGGACGTGATTATCAGATAGCTCATTAACTGAATCCCATCAGAAATGGTCACTCTGCAAATTCTTGGTGATTCAATTCCCCCATTTAATTATTTCCTCCTGTAGAAATGATTAGCTCACATTAGAGACAAATTACCTGTTAATTTTCCATTTGATAATTAGTGCTTTTCTAGGCCCTAGTTAGCTTTCTTGCCTTATGTCAGACTTGATCCAAAGCAGGCACCCAAGTCTTTTGATTTGGGTTTCTATTAATGTTTCCATTTCCCCTTTTAGGTGAGAAAAGACAGGCAGGGGTCTGACAGTGCCCAAAGGACCTCCTGGAGAGATGGTTCCTTCCCCACTTCTGCTGTGGACTTTGCATGAGAGACGAAAAACCCACTCCAAAATTAATTACAGTGCCAAACCGTGACCTTTGCAGCTTCTGCTGTGCTGGTGCCCAAAGTCTCTGAGCCTTGATTTTTTTATCTGCCTGAGTGTTTGTCGGGCACGGGGCCAGGGGCAGTGGCCTGGAGGGATTTCACAGTGGATGAGGGCATTATCTTGGGGTCTGGACTCTGCTCCTGAGGCTGCTGCTGTATTTTATCTACAGATTTGCTCAATGCAAAATGCAGAAGCTGTCCAGGAAACAGAAGGCGATGCTTTCCCCTTCCTCCCTCCCCCTCCTCCCGGAAATGTTTGCAAATCCCATCTCCTCTTTCACTCTGTGTTCCTGCCAGACAGAAGCTGCTGGCATTATGTATTCATTTCGCTGCACAGTGTCATGGTTTCGACAGGAGGGGGGGATAGTCCCCTTTCGATCCGTGCCGGCCCGTCGCTTCTGTCGGTGGGGCACTTCTTCAGGGAGGGGGTGGTGTGGGTTTGGCTCTCTCCACACAGTGGAAAGCAGGGAGCTCGGGGCTGCTGTTTTGTCGGGGGAGCACTGAAAAACCTGCTGGTGCATGAACCGTGGGTGATGCTGCAGCGGAGCACAGTTTGTCCCTGCACACTCCCAGGGGAGCGGTGGCAAACGCTCATTTCAGGCTGGCGTGGGATGGAGCTCAGAGAGCTCGCTGGGGCTGGGTGAATGAGGAGTGCGAGCGGTGCCCCAGCGACACCTGACGGAGCCTGTTTGGACTGGGCTGGCTGGTCATGCACGGGCATGACAGAGGAAAGGCAGACAGATTTCTGTATGGAAAGGAAGGCACGTTCCATGCTTGAATAAATGTAGTGTTCTGATCCCCCTCAGCTCCCAAACCACTTCTGTCTTCGGTTTAACAAACATTCAGGCCCAGAGCCTCGAGGGTGTTTAAGCTGCTGACATCCTTTGGCAAACACCTGATCCTTTTTAGGTCACTCGAGTGTGAACGGAGCCACCTAAACACAGGTGCTCCTGCCCGGCACAGCCCCAGAGCTGCAGGGGTGGGTCTCAGACAAGGTGTGTCCAGATCTTGGCTTTGCTGGCACAGCCTCACTGTATTGTGTTCCTGCCCTGGCTGCTCATCCCATTCCCCTGCAGATGCTGCTGCCTGTAGAGTTGTGAGGGACCTGTGTGTTCTCCTCTTTCCTGCACCCTGAGGTGAGGCTGTAGCCTTTCAGCTGGAGACCCTCAGGCAACGTGCAGCCAACTTGCAGCACCTGAAGGGTCCCTGGGACCTGATGGGATGTTCTGTCAAGGTACCCACTGAGCATCTACCCTGAATAATAATCTGAGTGTGTCCCAGCTTGGTGCTTTTATTTGTTGCTTCCAGAGTCTGCTCTTTCCTTGCAAATTTTAAATTGCACCACTTGCAGCTCCAAGCAGTGAGGTTTCCCTGTCTAAGGGGGGCATTTCTGTTCACAGAATACCAGAGGCCATTGCTCTGGTAGGAGAGAGAGAGACTGTGGATGGGCTGTCACCAAGCGCACCCAAGTGGCTGCTGAGAATTCTCGGAGAGTGCCAAGGAGGGAGAGGATATGTTTTGGATGCCCCAGGACTGCTGCCCTATGTGGCCTGTCATGCTGCTCCTTCTGCCCCCACACCCTCATGTACCAAATGTGTCTTCCCTGCACAACCTGGTAAGTCTTCAGAGGAGAAGTGTGAAAGAGCTGCTAAAATCAGAGGGAAATAATAACCATAGTGAGAAATTCTGGGTAGAAGGCACTTTTTTTTTTTTTGGGGGTGGGGTGGGCTGTGGTATCTTGCAGAGCCCTGGTGTGATTTATTTTTAATGCTGAACATCCAGCCCTCCATCGCATTTCCCACAGCTCGGCTTCACCAGTGTGCTTCTGCAGCATCTCCCTGCCCCTGCCTCATACACATTGTTTGCCTCCTCACTTATTTTCTGTTTCCTGCCATACAAGGAGGGCAGATACTCTCTTCTCTCTGTTACAACTCAAATCAGGCGCAGTAGCTCCAGCAGCCTGTTGCAACACACTTGTTGCTAAAGCCCAGCTGTTGTGGCACAGCTTTTCTGACAAGAGCAAAGAGGGTTTTCCCCACCTGTCTGTGAATCTGACTCAACCTGCACAGCATCCCTGGATGCAACCTAGAAACAATTAAGGGAGGAGCAGGCTGCAGTGCTGCTGCTGTCAAGCCAGCAGGAGCGGAGCTTTCTCTTCCCATTTCCAGTTACTCGGCTTGGGACTCAGTGCTGATCCTATCCAAGAGCTGCCTCCTCTGTCACCGTCAATTCGATGCCTCAGAAAAAGGTGTTGAACCCCTTCTCCCACAGGTACCGAGGTCTTCTGCAGCTGGCAGGAAACAAAGCCTTTTGGATGAGCAGAAGTGCTGTACTTCTGTGATCCATAAATATCCCCAGTGCGGGGGATTTGCTGTCTTTGCCATGTCATGCCACAGGGACTTTTTTTGGTGACGCCCCGGGTTGGCACGGAGGAGGAGGTGTCAGCAGCCCATAAGATCACAGGCAGGGAATGAGTAGGAAGAAGAATATGTGGGTGTAAATCTGAGCTTATCTCCTGCAGTGGCTGCTCCCCTCCCACCCCCCGGCTCTGCTAGCTTTAATCATCTTAGACCCGTGCAAAAACTCTGCATATGTCAGGTGGGGGATGTGTGAGTAGCTGCATTACTGGAGCTGGAGAATCTAAACCCCCTGCAGATGGGCTTGGTGGAATCCTGGGGAGAGCAGTGTGACAGATGTCTGCTGATGGCTGCACTGGTTGCTCCCAGGGCAGCTCCTGATCCCAGTAACTACTCCATCTCCCCTCTGGGGTGCCCTGGAGCAGTGCTGTGTTTTCTCACCAGAGTTTCATGTTCACCATGCCTGGACTCCCTGAGTTTCTTTGTCTTTTATCCATGACATCCTTTCTTAGTGGCCCAACACATTCCCCACCCTGTGGGGAGCTTTTCCTCATGCAGCTGTGGGGAGGAGCCCTGGAGACTTTCTTGTGTCCCTTTCCTTTGCTAGGAGGGGGCACGGCTGAAAGGTGTGTGTGTGGCTCTTTGTATTGCAGTGCACGTTGGCTGGAAGGAGAACTCAACCACAGTGAACAGTTTTTCATGAATTCTCTTGCTGTGTTTTCATTCCAGTCCTTTAACTCATCTGGGCTTGATTACTCACAGACTGCATGGCCATTGCATACTCAGTAAGGCATGATAAGTTCATTCAACAAATCTTCCAGATCATCTGTAATTGTGCATTGCTCTAACCTCTGGTATAATGTACTTGTTATTAGGGTATTGAAGTTTATTCCTGATTTGATGCTTTGTTCCTTTCCTGCCTGCCAGCATCTTTGACAGACAACAGATTCTATTTTAGATCTATTACCAGGTGATTATGGCTGGTTGGCACGTTGGAGTTCTCCTTGTTACTTGGCATTCAGAAGTGTTGGTCAGGCAGGGGAAAGTACCATGACAGGTGGAGTGAAAATCACATTGCAGCACAGGTGTAGCCCCCCCCCAGATCCCTTCATCCAAGAGTTCCAGGGCTTCTGGTTCATTCTCCCCAAGTACCCTACCTGGCTACAGAGCAGAGTGCTGATAGAAATGTCTGAGTTAAGCAGAGAGAGGTGAATGATGAATCTGCCCCAAATGTTGGCAGGGGAGAGAAGGTGGCACTGCTCCTGTCATGGAGGTGGGAGAGATGAATCACCAGGAGGTGAATAAACTGTCTCATGAGCCTTGGGAGGGCTGTTGGCCTGGTCAGTGTATGGGCTGTTGTATGTTTAGTGCAGATAGGCTGAATCAAGAGGTGTTTGCAGGTCTGTGTGTAAGTTCACTGTGCATTGCCCAGACATGGCTGTGGAGGCAGATTTATTAGGATGAATGGACTCACCAGCCACCAGAAGCCTGAGCCAGTTTTAGGCAAGGCCAAGAGTCACAGAGCGGATGTGGGAGGCGTAGATTCAAGTTCCTCTTCAGCTTTAGTTAATACAGATCTGAGCCCAGCTTCCCCTCCTTCCCCAGGGCTGCTCTGGGTATTGTGGGGAGTTACCTGGTAACCCAAATGGAGTTGTTTTTCAGTACTGCATCCATACTCTTGTACTGCAGTGGGAAGCAGGAACTTGCTTCCATGGCAAATGCTGAGCCCCTCACTGCAGAGCAGCCCACACTGCTCCTTCCTTGCTGAAAATGTTACTGTTTGATTGGCACGAGGGAGATGTGAAACCACATCCACAGGATGGGCTGGGAGAGACCTGGTGAGCTGATGTGAAAGCCAGTGGCCTGGACAGGAGAGGGTCTGTGTCCCTCGCTTGCCAGGCAGTTGGAGGATTTGACCTTGATGGAGCTCCACTCCCTCCCCCTGGCTCCCTGTTGCCTGTGCACGGGCCCTGCATGGGGTGGGTCTGACTGGGCTGTCAGCAAAGGTTTGGGCTGACAGATGAACACACTAGCCCAAGGTTTGCTGTGCACTGCGTCTGCTTCAGGCTGCCTACCCTAGAGTGTGCTGTTCCCTTGCAGAAGATGCTCGTGCTGCAGCTGCAGGCTCCTGCTGCAGGCTTGGCCACCGGGCAGCAGCTGGGCTGGGCCATCAGATTTGGTGCCCAGCTTGATTCTTTCTGCTCTTTTTTGGCATCACTTCCTTACCCTCCGTGTGGGTAAGCAGCTTTTTGGTGGCTGTTTCTTGCCAAGTGCTGCTGCTGCCTGCCTTGTCTCATCTCTGCTTCCTCCTTCCATGGACCAGGTGGTGAAGAGTCCCCTGGGGTTACTCCTGTGGGCAGCTGCAGCCAGCTGAGCCCTGCCATGGGGCACTGCCTGACTGCTGTAGGGATGAAGGAAGGCCTTACAGGAGAGCCCCTGTATTTGCCTACAGGTGCCCTCAGGGCTCTGGAACTTTGTGCCTGAGCCAAGTTTGGTGGCCTCACTCCAAACAAAAATGAAACCCCTGCCTGCAGAAGAGAAGCTGTCCTCTCTTTTGAGCAAGGGAAAGGCTCTTTAATCCTTGCTCCTGAAGTCCTGGTTGGCTCCTCAGCTGTTTCTGCATCTCCTGTAATCATCAACATCACGCGTGTACCAAGCACTATTTTTGGTGGCAGCGCGGTCTGTGCTGCGGCTGCAAACCCCAGCACAGCCACACTGGTCCATCCTGTCTGCTCAGAGCACAGTAATCCCACCACAGGGGCCACCTCCCAGCCCCAAACCTACGCCATCCGGAGCTGTGAGCACAGCCGGCTGTGTGACCACCCCCAGTGCCGTCTGGTCCCACAGGGCAACAGGAGCCCTGCCGAGAAACGCTGAGGCAGCTTCTTCAAAGGTCACCCCAGCGATTACGTGTGCAGGAAGGGCTCAGCTGTGCAGCACAGCTGTGGCTGTGAGAAGAGGGGAAGCGAGCACCGAGCTGTGAGTGCTGTTACAGAAGCTCAGGAAACCAAAGCCTGGGGCAGGCGGAGGGGCTCGGGCGCGCTGTGGCACAGGGTGATCAACCCCCAGGGCTAGTCCCACACATGCAAACAGCTATCAGAGGTTAAAAACAAGGGACTGAAGATGTTCAGCCACCGGAGTCAGGCAAGCAACTCTGCCTCTTCAGTGCTGCGAGGAGGGCAGTGCTTGGCTGGAAGGATCCGGATGTGCAAAGCCCGGATTCCATCTAACCCAGCACTGGCGTGTAATAGTGTGGAGGTGCCCCCAAAACTGCACACCCTCAGCTGTCTTGTCATCCTGTCCATGCAGATGGGCCCTGCTGAGGGCCATGGTGGTGCCCACAGGTAGGTGGCTAAAGTAGGTGAGATGAGACCTCTCACCTTCAGTTAGGTGAGATGAGTCCCACCAGCCGTTCTTAGCCAACCTCTGGAAAAAAAAGGGAACGTTTTAATCTCAAGTGGAACCACTGCAAGAAGCAGCCCCCAGTGTTTTAAGTCATATCAATATGTATCAGAGATAGGAGCTACATTCGTATCCTTAAGTCACCATCACATGGAATGCCCCTGGCCATGAAGAAATGGATTGTTACAAGCAATCTTGCATCAAGTCTGCACAGGCTTGTCCTGCAAGACAAACTTTTCTTCACTGCCAGCTGGTGAAGCTGTGCCAAGGTTTATGTCCCTTCAGCACACGCTGCTGGAGCAGAGTGGGCTCCTCCAATCAGTACTGAATTCTTCAAGTTTTTTTGGTGGAAGATCAGATATAATTTTTTTTTTTTTTTTCAGTGGTAGCATAGCTCTGCTGCTTTCAGGTGTCAGATGCACTGCTCTGTTGACCTCTGGCTTCTCTGAGTTCCTAGAGATTAAAAAGGAAGAGCCCTTGGTATTAAAAAAATTAACAGCACAGAGCTGCTGTAGCAAGGGCTGCAGCTTCCGAGTCTGCTTCCAGCCTGGCAGCCACAGCAGCTTCCCAGCACTGATCATCTCTACTGTGCTCAACCCTCAGCATTAACCAGCCATGAGTCATGCTCTGAAAAATGCTGAGGTGTGGTTTGAAGCCCATGTTTGGTTCTTTTGAGGATAAATGCTGGTCTCCTTTATGTACCCTCTGGTGTTTAAGGTTTCCTACCTAAGATGACTTAGAAACTTCTCCTTTTCAGGCCTCTTTCTCACATTCTCATGCCCTTTCAGGACCGAAGGTTATGAGGAAATGAATCAGAAGTTGCCAAAAGTTCATGGGAGCCACTGGGTGTCTGGCTTGGTGCACCTGCACTGCACTTGCTGAAGCTGCTCGCAGGGTGATGCTCCTTGACCAGCTGCCTGCTGTGGGAGCCTTTCCTAGAAACTGTGACCTCAGTGTGCCTCTAATTCCCAACTCCCCAGCCTGCCCCCGGGGCATGTGCTGAGGTGTTCACACCATCTCTGTGCTGTGGTCTGGAGGTGTGTGAGGCTCCTGTCCGTGGATGATGTACAGAAATACACTGCTGTGAGCCTTGGGGCTGCTGCTGCTGGCCAGGCAGGAGCTCCAGGTGTGCAACACAGGTTTGCTGGTGAGGCTGTGGATGGGAGGGCTCGTGATGGGGCAGGACATGGGCTGCTTCTGCTGTTTTACCTCCAGCCATAGCAGATAAGTCCGGAATGGGACTGGGCTGGATCGCCAGGCCAGCTGCAGTCACTGAGCTGTGCATGTGGGATGGATGCTGATGGCAGAGCTGCTGCCAGAAGCTCCTACAGGAGTTGACACCCGTGCTGGTCTATGGTGAGGCTGCTGCTGCAGTAGCTCTCTGGGGTGTTCCCTGCCAGCCTTCCTGCAGCAGCCAGCTTCGGCAGCACTGCTAACAGCACCACAGCTGCTGGTTCTGCAGCAGGCACCTACTGTAAATTAGGCACCCCCACCCCAAAGGTGACTGCTGAGGTGCTCACAGTGAGGCACAGGGGAGCCCCAAAGTCTCAGCAGAAATGCGGTGCCTTGGTGCAGATCAGCCCCTCCTGGGTTCGCATTTGTTGCAAACAGAGCTGCAGGTCTAATCCCTGGGGAGCTGCCAAGTGATCAAACACAAATTGTGCCCGAGTCCCACGTACCTTCCCTGTCCACTGCCCCCCGCCTTGCAGACAGCACGTGTGCACCTGGGAGGAGACGCGATTTCTGGTACCACTGTGGGGGCTCTCGTAAACGCTGGGGAAGGAAAAGCTGAGAATAGCACTTGTCCCTCCTCCTCCCGCCTTGTCTTCTCCATGGCTGAAAGGCCGGTGATCTGCTTTCTGTGATCAGGTGGATTGATGCTTCCTGGTATTCCCGTGGGAATTGGGACTTTCAGGGGAAACATCAGCTGCCCCGTCACTAGGGAGCACCCAGGCAGTGCCACTTCTGTCCCCACGAGGTCTCCAGCAGCTTCAGCTCCGTGGCGGAGGCTGCAACGTGCCCGTCCGTGGCTTTGCAAATCTCTTTCCTCCTCTGCAAAACAGCGCGGAGGTGCAAAGCTGTGGGGGTTGTTACAGCAGGGGGGGTGGGAAAAGGTATCCTTCAGCTAAAAACAGTGCTATTTGGGTCATCCCCTCCCTTCCAGGCTGCCCCCAGCACCAGCCTGCTCACGCTGTTGAGACAGACACAAATTTCCGGAGGTGCCAGCCAGATTCCTTGAGACTGAGGGAGAGCCAAACCAAAATAAACCTGATGTAGCTGGGTGCTTTAATTTTCAGGAAGAGCCGAGCAGCAGCAGCAGGCTGGTTTCCAGCTGAATCTTTCCTGCTGTATCAAGTGTAAATTCATCAGGTATTCCATTTCCTGGAATAAAAAAAAAAAAAAAAGAGTAGAGCTATTTTTCCCTCTGACATGGTGAATGCAATTACCTAAGGCATGGGAGGCTGAGATAACTCACTTAATTCAGCCCCCACTCTCCAAAGAAACCATCATCATTCTGTCAGAAAAGGCTTTAAAACCCAATTCACATCCTGAATGCTAAAACATTGCCACGTACAGAAGCTGTCCTTACGATTTCCACGCACCAGCTGCAGCATCACAAGCAAAACACACTCAAAGACAGGGCAAAGTTTGTTATTATCAGGGCCATATACACCGTGCAAGCTCCAGCAAGGGTTTGCTGACCCTTCTCCCAGTGTGGTTGTCCTTGTCCTTCAGGAGCAATTCCCAGCACAGCAAAGCCCACTGGCATCCTTTTAGCAGTGTGGGAGCCGTGCTGGGGCTGGGGAAATGTGCATGGGGAGAGTCCCAGGCTCTGTCTGTTTGGAGAGCTCAACGAAGGGAAGCCATAAGCCTCTGCTTGCCCCCAAATTTAATTCCATTTAGGCTGCACTCTCCCACCTCTTCTGCCCTTACATAATGGGGAGTGGAGTAATGACTTTCAGCAGTGCTGTTGGAGTGGCAGTAGTCCAATTCTGGACTGTGGTGTTTGGTTTTTTTTTTTTTTTTAATGGTGGGGGGAGAGCAGGTTGGCAGAGGGGAGAAAGCATCAGTTTGGTTTGTGTGCAATCCCTGTTTTGCTCTGGGAGCTTTAGAGGACAGACACATTCTTCCATCTCGGCTAATCCTCCTCTGATACAGAGGATTTTCCTGCCATTAAATGATAGCTTGTGAGAAAAAAATGCCAACTTTCCAGGGGCTGACTCGCATGGCTAATGGCAGCCTCATGAGCAGGAGGGAGGACACAGCCGCTGCCCGGCCAGGTAAGCAATGCCTCTGGCTGATTTCTGTTGGGAATTTTAGTTTCAACTATTTGACCCTAAGCTGGTTACGCTCCTCTGTACCACCACCCATTTCCTGGGGAGGCAGCCAGTCTGTTGCTGTGGGTGACCTCTCCAGTCTATTGCTGTTGGTGACCTCTCCCCACATCAGATAATAGGAACCTGACCTTGGCACGGCTGGTGGGGAGGATGTGGATGAGCTCCTGAAAAGCAGTGGCAAAAAGCTGCAGGATTCCCTGAGAAGGTCAGTGGTGGAAGAAAGATACTCACCAGGAAGGTGCTGGGGACTTCTTCAGTTCGAAAGTGTGTGAGAGAAGAGCTTTTTTCTTCATCTTCCTTTCTAAGCATAGATCTTCTTGTGGACAAATGACACAGGGAAATGACAGAGGATGAAACCTGTCTCTGTTCTTCCCGTGTGCTTTTAGATCCCTCAAGTTTGTTTGCCAGACCTGAAATGCCACTAGGGAATAATCAAGGTAATGTTTGCCATCATTTTAAATGGTGAGTATACTCTTATTCTTCATTACCCAGTAGTAGAGATTAGATAGATCATTTGGAAAGGTGGTGGTTAAATACTCAGTTATTGCAATCATTCAGTCATTGTCTCTTTACTCATCTTAAAACTCTGCAACCTTTTTTTTTTTTTTTTTTTTTTCTCTTGCTGTTTCTTCCAAATACTGAATTTCTGTAGTATTTAAAAGAGCAAAAGAGATCGTCACTGGGGAATTTTGTTTATTCCTTAGTGCCACAAGTATTTTTTACCTTACTGTTTTATTTAACTGGTTTTCTAAAACACGCATTTCATTTGAGCACCCTCTGTGTCAATGAGCTGGAGGCATCTTCCAGCTGCTGCCCTGTCTGTGAACACAGCATTAAAAGCAAAGAACTCTTCTTTGCTTTTAATGAACTTACTCTTTCCCTTTCTGGGGAAAGAGTAAGGTGGGAAAGGTGGGAATGTTTAAGGCTATGTTGGTCAGAGATCAGGGGAGAGCTAATCTCCTGTGCTCTGAGCAACAGCTCTCCCAAGGGCTTAGTGGGGATCAGGCAGAGAGTGTTTTCCAACTTCCTTTGCAAGAGAAGGAGGGAGAAATTGCTACAAAGAATGCTGTGCTGAGGGGCATTTCTGATCCTCGAGTGCTGGCTTTCCATGTCTGCACAATGCAAAGAGTTACACTTATAAACAGAGATCTTAGAAGTCTGCTGTGAAATGCCCCTTGCAGAAGACCCAGATTTGGCACTTGTGTATAAGGAAAACAGGCTGGATATGGCTTGGGTATGAATATTTCCTTAATTGAGTGATTAGAGAAGAAGCAGGGAGGGGAAGGAGCGGATTTGGTTATCAGCAGACTTGTTCCTACCCTGCACACAGTGCACACAGCAGTGGGTGCAGGTCTGCTCTGAAGGCCAGAGATGTGACTGAGCCTGGGGCAGCTGGTTTTGAGCATTGAACCTGCTCAGGACAGTCTCACCTATAGGACAGCCTATGCACATGTGCCCCTCTGGATGTCACCCTGAGCCCATACAAGGCTCTCACTCCAGCAGCAACACTCGCATCCATCCTTTTCCAGACAGCCACCTGCAGTCAGACATTTGGGAACAGGCAAATCCTTAATCTGTCTGGCCCTCAGTTTATGTAACTGCCTGACAAAAACAACATATGCCCCTGTTGGCAGGCACTGGGGTGGGCTGGTGCGAAGGGTAGGGAATGAGGCAGCCCCTGGGCAGGCTGAACAAAGAAAGAGCAATCTGAACCCAGTGTGTCCTCCCCTTCTCTTGTCCTTGGGCTCCTCATCTGCTGTCCTCCCAGGGCCCTGTCTGAAAGAGACTTTCCTTTAGCTGTGGCTGTTAGATAAGGGCTCAGGGAAAAAGGAGGAGAGCAGACAAAGAAACAAAATGACAACCTGTCTGAAATCCTTCCCACTTCTCAGAGTCCTTCACTATCATTTATCCTTGAGGTGATGCTGTTTTACTAATTCTCCAGTCACGATAGTGTGGCCAGGCATGATGGGACCTGAATTTCGATGAAGAGGCCGCATCTAAAGTCCTTCTGGGATGTTCTCTCCGTGTATCTAAATCCTTCTTCCACATGCAATGACCAGGATGGTTCAAACAGAACCATCTGGGCAGTTCCTGGATCGATGCCCTTCAGTGGGGACCTGCCCAGCAACTGGTTTTGCAAAGTGTCCTGCTTGCAGAAGCCACAGGCAGTGTAAACTCCTAAATACAGTCCCGTGCATGTTGCCTTTGAAAAGAGTGGAGGAAAGGCAGAGAAATTGCAGCTCGAACTGTCATTTGTTCTGTACATTAAAGCCTCGGGGACTGTGACAATAAAAGCTTGACGCTTGCTGAAGCTGATGCTTCCTGGCATATCACCTCACAAGTCTGTCTTAATGAAAGTGCCCACTGGGAATACAGCTGCAGTGGGCAATCGCTGTGCTGCAAACTGCAGGGAGGGGCAGCCCAGCTGCTGGGAGCTTCCCTGTCCACACACTCTGCAGGATTGGGGGGAAAGCCTGGCCCTTGGCCCTCGGAGCCAGACGTGACCACAGCAGTAGCAGCAGCAACATAATCCCAACAGTTCTTTTAATAAAGGTGGCTGTTGGTATCTCATGGGTTTTTTTTAGGAAAAAAAAGAAAAAAAAAGAAAGAAAAAGGATTATGCTTGTGTGGGAGCCAATAAACTGCAGCAGAAAAACCAGTCAGGAGAAATAGCACCATTTCCTGATAGTGATTAGTTCTCTGGTGTGGCTGCTCATTTTGTTGAGCAGCAGGTAGGATACGCCCTGGAGAGAAATTGCAAAACAGGCTCTGCCTTCAGTTCTTCTTCTCTAATGAGTTTATTTTCATAGAATCAGAGAATGGCTTGTGTTGGAAGGGACCTTAAAAATCATCCAATTCCAACCACTCTGCCATGGGCAGGGACACCTTCCACTAGACCAGGTTGCTCAATGCCTCATCCAACCTGTCCTTGAACATTTCCAGGGATGAGGCATCCACAACTTCTCTGGGCACCCTGTGCCAGTGCCTCACCACCCTCACAGTAAAGGATTTCTTCCATATGCATAACTTAAATGTCCCCTGTTTCAGGGGTAAAAACCATTTTGCATTTAAAAAAATAATTCATTTTTTTTCAGATGTTTTGTTGACTGGATGTTTTTTCCTCACAAAAAGAACCTGTCTATGGAGGCTGATGTCTCCCATTCCTTTTGTTCTTCTCTGATTTCTCTGCAAGAGCTTTCTTCTCCTCCTTGTTGTACACCCACCTGCGTGGGACTAACCTGGAAAGAAACAACAGCCACATACCTCCCATGCCAGGCTTATAAAGGACAAAGTAGATGTTCCCATCAAACGTAAGGCACTATGGTGACTGGCTTGAGAATTGGTAAAACAGTAAAAACTGTGCTGGAGGTGCAGAGAGTCTCATCTATGATGAGATCATGAAGTGAGCGGTTGAACAGTGTATCTTAATTTGTTTTTAGTCATGCTGTTCTACCAGTACACACTGGGAATGTGTTTTTAAACACTGTACTACATCCTTCAGAGCTGATAGTTCCCCTTCCAGTGCTGCACTGGCTCTGGTGGAGAAATGTTACGTTGAGTGAACAAAGGAAAGAAGCAAAAATGATGAATTTGACATATCCCCAGGCAATCAGCTGATCTCCCCCTGCTCACTGCCTGACTCAGCATACGCTGTCCTCCCCTCTTCCCCATACAGAAATACTGATATAATCCGCAGATGCTGGCCTTCAGAACATCTCTGCCTGCTCCCTGGCCAAAGAAATCACTACCTTCTGCCTGGCCAAACTGTGTCCCCACTAGCCTGTAGACAGACCAGTCACAGAGACTCTAAGAAATACTAAAGTCTAGGTGGGGAGAGCAGTTAACCAGAGATGATGCTCTAATGACACATATTCTCAGTGGGTTTAAAAACCCCCACAGAAGATTGTTAGGAATCCTTAAAAGGGCTTGCTGGTCAGCACTGGTGTACAGGTGGCACTTAGCCTGGCTAGAAGGGAGGCAGAGACAGCGTAATTTCTTTTTCCTGTGGTGACTAATTCACTTGCTAACCGTGCATCCCTACTCTCTCCTGCCCACGCCTCCGTGGGGATGGCGCGTTCCTCCCCGGCAGTGATCCTTTGGATCCCTCATGCCCACGGGGTTTGGGCCTGTGTCCGGTCCTGCCCTCCCAACTGCGTGTGCACCCAGGAGCGGAGCTGCTCCGTCCTCTGTGACCGCGCCGGCCTGGGGCAGATCCCCAGCCAGTTCCCTTGCGAAGCCTCTTCAATCAACCTGGACAAAAACAGCATCAAGTTCCTCTCCGAGAGGGCCTTCGGGACCTTGCCTTCCCTCAAATCCCTGTCGCTCAACCACAACAACATCTCCTTCATCACGCCGGGGGCTTTCAAGGGGCTGCCCAGCCTGACCGAGCTGAAGATGGCCCACAACGAGTACATCCGCTATCTCCACACGCGGACTTTCACCGCCCTCAGACGGCTGGTGAGGCTGGACCTGGCGGACTGCAACCTCTTCAACATCCCAGACAGGATCTTCATCGAGCTGCCCGCGCTGCAGGAGCTCTTCTGCTTCCAGAACAACTTCCGAAGGATCCCAGGCGCCATCAGGGGCATGGAAAACCTGACCCACGTTTACCTGGAGAGAAACAGGATCGAAGCGGTGGCCTACAACTCCCTGCAGGGCCTGAGCAAGCTGAAGTACCTGAATCTGCAGGACAACAAGATAAATGTCATTCACGAGCGAGCCTTTCAGGCCTGTCAGAAGATGGAGTACCTGTACCTGAACGACAACTTGATCAGCGAGCTTCCAGAAAACTCCTTTGTTGGCCTGAGGCATTTGAAGATGCTCAACCTGGGGGGGAATTTTCTCAGGAACATTTCCAACACCTGGTTCAGGGACCTGGGGGAGCTGGAGATCCTCTACCTGGACCGCAACAGGATCAGCTACATCGAGGAAGGGGCTTTTGAGAACCTCACCAGCCTGGTCTCGTTGCACTTGAACAGCAACAACCTGACGACCCTGCCCTTCTCCGTCTTCGAGCCGGTGTATTTCCTCGGGCGGCTGTACCTCTTCCGCAACCCCTGGGAATGTGACTGCCGCATCGAGTGGCTCAAGGAGTGGATGGAGAATTACAGGCTTGTCAGGGATATTCCGTGTGCCTCCCCCTCCTCAGTAGCCGGGATTGACCTGACAGATGTGCTCTATGAGAGGTCGCCGGAGGGTTATTGCCTCGACCCGGTGGAGCTAAACATCACGTCTGAGGGTCCGACCCCAAGCGAAGAGCCTTGGTCTACCACAGAGAGCAAGTTCAACAGCCTTATCTCCAAACTCTTGCTCCAGATGGGCCTTCCTGAAGAGGTGTCAAACGCCACTGAAGTCTACGGTAACACCACGCAGCTGGATGGACAGACGGAAGGGGTTTCTTCCGGCGTGGGGGAAAACAGTATCGAGGCCGACTCCTCTTCTTTTTACCTCCCAGCACTTTTTACAGTGATTGTTTTGCAGTGCAAATAGTCCAAGGGCTGTGTGGACCACGGGTCCTGCTTAAGCATTTAGTCCTTGCACCTACTTAGTCATTAGGGGGAAGTTCGTGCTGGGGGCCTCTGATACACAACTGGCTCCAAACTCTTCCAGGCTGGGTTGGTTGGGTCTGTCTCCAGATTCCCCTGGGAGCTGGCGGGATCTGGTTCAAGGCTGGGTCCCACTCTGGGTGAGAAACCTGCCCTTTGGGTGTCTCAGAGCCTCCTGGATACCCACAGAGCTCTGTGGAAGATGAGTAGCTGCAAGGTTGAGTTTTGCCTAGAGAGACTCGTGATGTTCCCTGTACCTCAACAGGATTTTGATCCTTTCTCCCTCTGCTATCCTGGCACAGATGCAGGAGAGCCAGATGGACCCATGTTTGTCAAAACATTCTTCTCTGAGGCAAAGCTACTTAACAACATACTTATTAGTGTCATTTCAATGTATTTAATTTTATTCAATTAATATATTGTTTCAAGGAATATCCTGTTTTTATTTGTAGATTATTTCATGGCATGGCAGCAGGGGCAGAGCATGGTGATGACAAATGCAGCCAGGCTCTACTAAATATTTTGTATTTCCACCACTAATGTGTACCACATAGTGTATCATATTACATCATACTAACCAACCATGCTCTCATTTTCTTTATATGGCACCTTACATGTTTTATCTGTGAAATCATCAATGAAAGCTGCTAATATGATCAGAAAGAATTATAATGTTTTATGTATCAAAGCACATTAATAAAATAATTTGATATTTTGCTCACAAAAATAAATTAACTTCTTGACCCCCTGTTTTTTTTTCAGATCCTTGAATAACTCTGGTGGGTTTTTTTGTAGGCTACTCAAATGGGTGCATATGAGTGTCCTTTCATGGTCTAGAGCAAATGGCAAGCTATTTATTGCAGCATAAGTACTTTCACCTAGAGCATGACCACATTTATATCTGTGTTAAGCAGCAACACTTTGAAATGTAAGTGTCTATATAGAAATACATTTCTGTGATTTTTAAGTATATTATCAAATCATTATACGTGGCTTATCATACTATGGTGTACATGTTCATATGATATTATGCAATATATGCAAACCTTTATTAGTGCTAAAATGTCATGAAGGAGGAATAAAAATGGAAATTAATTTTAAGCAACTATCAAAATATTTTCCAAATCCCCTTTTTTCCCCCCACACCGTCCCTTTCCCAACCAATTGAACATGAATGTGGCTTCCTCTGGAAAGCCAAACCTCCCTGTTGCAATGGCTCCTCAGCTTTCTGTAGTTTCCCAAGAGAAAAAAAAAAAAAGCCAGATGGTTTGATAAATGCCTATTTGACCTGTTCCGTGAACTAAATTCAGTGAGTTTGGATTTCCAGGCTATTTATGAATCCATTAATCTTCTTAAGTGCTAAATTCATCTGTGTATTATAAGAGGCTGTTTTTCAAACCCAGTCCATCCCAGTGCTGTAGAGGCATATTAGGTTAAGGATGCCTTTACAGGAGTGGTATTTCATCCTGTCAGGGGAGGTTTATCAATAGGCTTGGCACAGATGGCAGGACACAAATGGTTGTATTTCACTTCCTATAAGTACGGATGCCTCATGATTGAATTGTTTTCATAACCCACATTTTTATTTTCTGTGCTGAAGTACATTAAAGCTGAAGATCGCCTTACTGTGCAATTGTTGAGTGGTTTTCAAGTCAATTACTGCTTCAAAGATGCTTCTGCTTTATCTGCAAGATGCACATCCGAATATGAATCAGAGAATCACAGAATCAATTGGGTTGGAAAAGACCTCTGAGATCATCGAGTCCAACCTTTGGCCGAACACCACTGTGTCAACCAGGCCATGGCTGACATGTCCAGTTTTCCCTCAGACACCTCCAGGGGTGGTGACTCCACCACCTCCCTGGGCAGCCCATTCCAATGCCCAATCACTCTTTCTGTGAAAAAATTCTCCCTAATGTCAAACCTAAACCTCCCCTGGTGCAGCTTAAGACTGTGTCATCCTCTTGTTCTATTGCTGGTTGCGTGTGAGAAGAGCCCAACTCCCACCTTGCTCCAGTCTCCTTTCAGGTAATTGTAGAGAGTGATGAGGTCTCCCCTGAGCCTTCTCTTCTCCAGGCTAAACACCCCCAGCTCCCTCAGCCTCTCCTCATATGACTTGAGCACCAGCCTTGTTACTCTTCTCTGGACCTGCTCCAGCACCTCAATGCCCTTCCTAAACTGAGCGGCCCAGAACTGGACACAACCCATAATTGCTTTTTTTTCTTTTTTTTTTTTTTTTTTTTCCCATTTGTTTTGAACCTTGTAATTAGAAAACAAGGTAAATTAGGGATCTGCCTTTTGCATGAACAGTGTGGTTTTTTTTTTTTATTTTCTTAGACTAGACTCTTGCTGCAAAACTGTGTTTCAGCTGTTAAACCTGAACCAGCTGTTGGTTACAAATTCATGGCTGAGAGTCTCTTCAGAACTCAACGCTGTTTTCAAAATCTGCCTCTGGACTGAGACACCTCCAAAAATGCCACAGGGCACACCCAGCTGAGACGCCACTCTCAGTTTACACTGGCTTTGGGACACTGATGTCACTGTGCTGTGGGCTGAGGTGCTCATAAAGCGGGTTCTGACCCAGGAGGGTGCAGTGCTGAATTTAAAAGCACCACAAGGTGGTTGCACTCACATCCCTCCGTGCCTTGCTCTCCATGCACTGGGGAGAGCAAACCTCTAATGGCCTGACAGTGACAGGGTGAGCATTTCATGGGTGTTCACACCGATGTCTTTCAGTTGAAGCAAGTGATTCCCGTGTGGGGAACGATGTTGTTGTAGCTCTCAGCCCTTCAGCAGGGCTCCAGGTTACAAAACCATCACCCTGCACAGATACCCCTGTCCCAGGTCAGACAGACACTGGGGTAGAAAACCTTCAGAGAATTTTTTGTTTGATGATTGATGGGTTGGATTTGGTTGCAGTGACTGCCAGTAAACTGACAGGCAGAGAAAATGGCTGAAAACTTCTGCCAAGCCAGTGTCTGCTTGGACTAACTACAAACTTTTTCAAGTGATGCTGGGCAAGCTTTAGATTTTTACATGACAGAGAAGCACCTATAGAACAAAACCTAAACATGGGCAAGATCAGCACCAAAGTTCTATTTGTCATGGGACAAGGCTGGTAGTTTAAACTCTAACATAAAGATGAACACAGAAAATAGATATTTCTGAACAGAGAAATATCTATGTCTCTTACCCAAAGCCTGATTTTGTTGACCCTGTGGTTAGTTGAACCAGTCTGATCTTGTACTCTGTGGTTAGTTTTAGCCTTGAATGCAAGAAGTTCATTACTTCTGCAGTTTTTCTTACCTTTGACCTTTGCCACATCCTGTGATTTTTATTGTACTTCCTTCTTCTTCTCTCTGTCTTTCAAAGGACTGATTTAGAGTTAATTCTTAACTTGCCCAGCATAAATCCGATTTTAAAAAGACCTAAAACTTCCATTAGTTTTTCTATACACACCTGATGGTTTAATTTTCATGCACATCCTACTTATTTGCTTTTTTGGTTAACAGCTAATTTCACTTTGGGCTTGTTCAGTATCTAAACCATGGGTTTTGACCTGTGACAGGAGCTTCTTGATGTGTCTGTAGATTTGCTATGGGCCAAGCATAAGGAGCCCTTTTTCTGCCTCCCTGTTTTCCACACCCTCCTTTCCTTGGCTGCAACTGCTTGTTCTTGCTCTGAGCCAAAACCTGCCTGTGCCCTGATGGTGCTGCTGCTGGGATTGAACTGGATCACTGCAATGGTCCACTTAAAACCCTCTTTTTTTTGGTGTTTAGGAGCCCTATAATTTCCTCCAGATTTTTCTGTTGGGGTTGGGCCATAAGTGGGTTAAACTGGGGATAATAAGAATAAAATGCAATTGCTGTATCTGAAAGGGGGACGAGCTAAATGGGAATGATGATGCTCCATTGCTGGTTTGCACCTCGTGATTTACTGGTGCCAGCAAGGATCTGGTGCAAGGGTACAGGGTGAAGTGTTCTCTTTATTCAGGACCCAAATAAATTAACAATTGCATTTAGGAAACACTTCAGCAAAACAGGCTCTGCACTACAGTTTAAGACACACTGTAAAAATGTTGCTCCAGCTGTGGATGGGTGAGATGGGATTATGCTGGGGACTCTGCAGGGCATGCCTGTAGATGAGCAACGTGGAGTGTGGGCATGAATTTTTGAATAATATGTTTATTTTTTACTTCTGTTCTGCTTAGAGCGAGGGCAGACTCACAGGCACAGGGATATTGGGAAGAGGTCTAGGGAGTCTTGGGGCTTTCTGAGGCAGAAAAGGGGACAAGCAGGAATCACCCTGGTGGGGTGAGGATTTGCTGGACTCACAGCAAACTGCGTCACACAGGAAGGTGTAAAAACACGTGTGGCTCGATGGGGTTTTACTTCTGGGCCTTTGATGCTGAGAACAAAGCTGTGAGTGCACAGTGCCAGGGGTAGGCACATGGGCAAATGCGATAAATCAGTAACAAAAGGACAGCAACTCACTGTGTGCACATGAATTGGGATGGAATTGGCAATAGCAATTCCTCACTGGGCTGAATGATCATGTCTCAGTGTGCTGTGACAATGAGAGATGCATCAAACACTAAGTGGACAGGCACCTTCTTGATGTATGAGACTGGCAAAGAGCCAGAAGACAAAGTATGGAAATAAATGGTAAACTTGCAATCAGACAAAGCTGGTTGTAAATATCAGTGCTGAAACAGGTGATCAATTATTTTAATAGGTAAAAAAAGTAGCAGTGAATTTGCAGATGCAGAATTTTTTTAGGCCAGTAAAGCTTAAAGGAGGTGTTGCTGAATTCCAAATTACTTGAAAGCCAGGTGGTTTGTAGCAATATGATAGATAACATAGATGTTGGCATGTGTAAGGTAATACATATTGGAAGACACCACCTCAATTGTTCAGGTGCATGGCTGGGTCTTAGGGAAAGGAAGACCTGAGAATTGCTGTGAAGAGCTGATGGATCAACTGACATCACAGACCAAACAAAATACCGTAAGTAACAGAGGCTGGGATAGGAAAACCAGCAAATAATTCCATAGGCTATTATGCCTTTTACTAGTGCATCCTCATCTGGAATATGCCCAGTTTAGGTCTTGAACATCAGAAAACACATAGCAACAATAAAATTTGGTGACAGAAGTAAACGAGGACGAGTCATGGAACTAAGAGTTCTCGTCATCCAGGAGCGAAAAGACTGGCTTTGTTTAGGAGAGACCTAGAGGGTGGTAATTCCTACAGGAGCTACAAAAATCCTTTTGTCTCCTTTGAAAGTTATCCAGTGCTGCACAGACTGTGGGCAGTGTGACACAAATGACCACAAATTATACAGATGAGTGAGACAAAGCCACAATGACCTGCACCATGGGATCCCCTGAGGATGTGGAAGCTGACTTTGATTCTTGGAGCTTTTCTACTTTCCTCCTCCTGGCTGTCACTTTTAAGAGTAGAGCTGTGTTTCTGTGTCCTTGGCTCAGACCTTGTCTGTGGTGGGTCCTGCAGCGAGTTCTGACAGGCATTAAAACCTGAGTGTGGATGCTGTGACACCTGAGGTCCAGCTCAGGACACATCTGGCCAAAGTTAACAGAGCACAGAAGGCATTTATGCCAACACCAACCAATAAAAATCACCATGGAGCCTTCAAGAATATTATCTATGGAACCAACTTTTTTGAAAGGGAATTTTTTTCATTAAATCACTA